ACACATACTGCTGTTTAAAGAAGAAAAACAGAAGAGATGCGCACACAGGAAGACGTGTATGGAATATATATTGATAAATAATTTATCAACATAAGATATTGATCACTAATAACTTCTACATGTGAACTGATGCGATGACAAGCTAGGTGTTGTAAGGGTCCATTGGGAGCGACTGACCAGTATGGAGGCACAGATAAGATCATCATGGTCTGAGGAGAATGGTGCTAAGAGAAGTGACCACCGCATCTGGTCAATGCTCAACAGTCAAGGGAAAGGCAACACAAGACAGATGAACAGAGATAAATAGACAGACAGACAGACAGACAGACAGACAGACAGACAGACAGACAGACAGACAGACAGACAGACAGACAGACAGACAGATAGATAGATAGATAGATAGATAGATAGATAGATAGATAGATAGATAGATAGATAGATAGATAGATAGATAGATCTAGAACATCAAGATATTTTTGACATCTGCTGTTGAAGGGTAAGTGTTGATATCCTTTCAAGATACTTCTGACATCTGCTGTTGAAGGGAAAGTTTTGACATCCTTTCAAAATACTTTTGACATCTGCTGTTGAAGAGGGAGTTTTGATATCCTTAAGATGTTTGTGTCATCTGCTGTTAAAGGGGTTTTGGTTATTTTTGTCATCTGCTGCTGAAGGGGAGGTTTTGATTTCCTTTCAAGATAATTTTGACATCTGCTGTTGAAGAGGGAGTTTTGATATCCTTTCAATATATTTTTGACATCTGCTGTTGATCGAGTAGTCTTGATATCCTTTCAAGATATTATTTGCAATCTGCTGTTGAAGGGGTTGCTAACCCAGTGCCTATTACGCTTGCCTGCAAGCTTTATGGTCATGTCGCTGAGACAATCTCGTCTTAAAGGAACTAGTTTTTTTTGCGCCAGGACACTGGGGATAAGGGGGAAAGAACAAGCGGATTGGCTTGCTGGCAAGGCCACGGTAGGGACAGTCAAAGCAATGGACTCTGCCGACATACTCAATGCTCTCAAAGATGCAGGTCAAGAAGATGATTCAGGAGACGACAATAAATCGGCAACACTCAAAAGACTACAAGAACTTGAGATTTAAAAAAAATGTGTCGCCAAACATAAACACAATACAGGTAACCAAAGAAGAATAGTAAACCAACACAGAACCGGTGTTATCAGTCACCACATACTGGGGAAAATACTGAATATGGGACCCGAGTGCTTATGGACTTGTCCTACGTGCAATCAGGACAATCTGTTGTTTAACTAGCTTACTAACTATCTGCGGTCTTGTGCTCCAATTCCTATCAGTGAAGAGACTTCAAACTGGTTCCCAGGCAGACCCAACCACACAAAAATGGATACCAGGAAATGTTCAGGGCGGCAAAGACAGCCAGCGTAAGATGGACTGGATCACGTATTGAGTGTTAAAGTCAAGAGGATCAACTTCATTGCATCAGGTTTTATCCTATATGGCTCAGTCTCTCTCTGCAGAGTGGCTATTACTTTAATGTTGAGTGTGTTGGGGTGGTATGCTATTTACTGTTGAATGCGTTGGGGTGGTACTTTATTTACTGTTGAATGAGTTTGGGCGGTACTTTATTTACTGTTGAATGTGTTGAGGTGGTACTTTATTTACTGTTGAATCTGTTGAGATAGTACTTTATTTACTGTTGAATGTGTTGTAATAATGCTAGAACCTCTCCATATGGGCTGTGGGGCTAATTTGGGGATGGGGGTGGGGCAGGGGGAGGCACAGACCCATTGCCCCTTAATAAAAATGTGAAATACGGCTAATTAAAGGTTGCTGGAATCATATGTTTTAGAGTGAAAACTGCAGATATTGCAGCCTAGCTGTAAACCACAACACAAAGTGCCAACCACCCTATAAAGGGTGAACATAGAAGAAAGAAGAACTTTGCTAGGAAGCAGCAGAAGAAAAGGTGCAGTCCCCATAGGTAAGGAGTGAAAGGGAGAAAGAAAAGATTAACTGAAAATGGCAGATGAAAAAGTGCAATCTCCCTAGCTAGGAAGTGAAAGAAAAACAAAATGACAAGGAAGTGGCAGATGAAAAAGTGCAATCTCCCTAGCTAGGAAGTGAAAGAAAAACAAAATGACAAGGAAGTGGCAGATGAAAAAGTGCAATCTCCCTAGCTAGGAAGTGGAAGAAAAACCAAATGACAAAGGAAGTGAGCAGATGAAAAAGTGCAATCTCCCTAAAGCTAGGAAGTGAAAGAAAAACAAAATGACAAGGAAGTGGCAGATGAAAAAGTGAGTCTTCCCTAGCTAGGAAGTGAAAAGTGAAAAAACAAAATGACAAGGAAGTGGCGCGATGAAAAGATGCTCATATCCCTAAAATAGCTGAAATGGAAGGGAAAAAAAAAAACATCAAAAGGAAGGGAACAGCTAAAACAAGATAATTAAGAGTGAAAGTGGTAGCACGAAGAGGTTCAGCTTCAAACATAAAAAAAAATAACCAACCTTATCAACCTTGTCCTCGCCTTCAGCTGTCCTAGATCTTGTTGTTCCCGAGCTCCACCAGTTGCTTGGAAAGTGCCTCTGCAATCTGTGCCCTTCCTTAGATTCTGGTGTAGAGGCTGCTGGTGGTGCTGTCTATGGTTTCCCAGTCTTTGGCCAGTTAGTGTTTCTGTACTCTTGCTTAAGAGCCAGCAATTTCCTTCACAGCTTCATCCACAGCATTCTAGCAATTTATAAAAATGGTAATACAGATGACGAGAAGAAATGTTCCACGAGTAACTATGGTGTTGGGTGTTGTGTGGCAGTTTTTTTCTTTTGTAATGAGTGTAGACCGACGACACACAGAATTCCAGTAACAGATGTCTTTGATTTTTGAACATTTTGGATCAGAAATGCGAGATTACACCGAATCCTCACTGTCAGGATTTACAAATGCTGTGTATACCAAAAAAAATAATAAAACATTAATAAGCAATGCTTTGAAGGTTTCAGAGAGTCCCAGTCCCCGAAGGGATGAGGGTAAATTTGTGGGGTTTGCATTTTAAAAATGGGGGGTTGAAAAAAAAGAGAAGCTTTTTATCTTTCTGTTATTTAGTAAAACTTCAGTTTATGCGTGGAAATAATTTTTGTGCATTGAAGGGAAAGCCCCCTCAACGGGAAGTCTTGATTGTCGAGAATTATTTGTGAACAAGAACAGCAAGGCCATGCTAGGTAATCAGACATTTTAGCAAAAAACTGGGAAAAAAAATGATTTTTGAAAAAATACCCTGGGACACTAAAAAAGGGAAAAAGTAAAATTAACACTGGAGGCAAAAAGGGAAAAACCTAAGACAGAACAATTTACTTTTTAGGTGGTAATCTTGATAGTAAAGGGAAAACACAAAGAAAGAAATTACAAAGGCATCGGTTTTTAAAAACCCCCCCAAAATAGGGAAAACCCCAAAAATTAAAAAGTTTAAAACCCAAAGGTTATGTTTTTTCAGCTCTAAGTTTTTTCATTTTCAGCATAAGCTAGCAAAAGCGGGAGATCCGCAAAAGGACATGGAAAAAAATTTTAAAATGCACCAAAAACAAAGAACTGAGGAAAAATGTTTAACAAAAAGGGAGTTTTCAAAAAGTATTTGAAGAAATAAGAAAAAATTTTGCGGAAACCTTGCATAAAACATTTTTAAATGGAGGGGAGAATATGAAGCTCCCACTGGACTTTTCCCTGAAAGAAAAAAAAAATAGAGAAAAACCCAAACAAGCACTAAAAGGGGAAACGGAGAAAAAAAAAAAAAAAGGAGGTCCAGAGAAACTTAAAGCAAAAACCGAGGGGGAAAACCCAAAGGGTGCTGGATGGATTCCATTAATGAACCCAAAGTGTTTATGAAGGATAAAAACAGAATGAAGGAGCAGACTTTTGAGTCTATGGACTATAAATGGGCAAATGGGGACAATGAAATTATATAAAAAATAATGAGGATGTAAGTGACAAGAAAAGT